AAAACAATATTAAAATAAAACAAATTTAAAAATGCAAAACTATAATAACCTTGTACTGAACTAGAGAGTTGATTGAGATGCACCCTAGCATGTTTTAGCATGATTAGCCAGTTACTAGCATGTTTCTAACATGACTAGCATGATTACCAAGTTACTAGCATGTTGCTAACAAGTTTCTAGCACGATTAGCATGTTAACATGATTAGCAAGTTACTAGAAAGTTGCTAGCATGTTCCTAGCATGATTAGCAAGTTACTAACATGTTGCTAGCATTTTCTTAACATGATTAACATGTTACTAGTATGCTGTTAGCATGATTAGCAAAAGTTACTAGAATGTTGCTAGCATGTTTCTAGCATGATTAGTATGTTACTATCATGTTGTTAACATGATTAGCAAGTTACTAGCATGTTGTTGGCAAGTTTCTAGCATGATTAGCCAATTTCTAGCATGATTCTAGCATGATTACCCTGTTACTAACATGTTGTTATCACGATTAACAAGTTACTAGCATGTTGCTAGCATGTTTTACAGAATCAGTGGCTTAGAAATAGTACATAGAATGGGCTTCAGTGGGTTTGCATTTGAATGTTTGACAGTTGGAGTTTGAAGAGTCTTGGCTCATCTGAACGTTCTGTTTTGGTTTGTAAGTCTATGGGATTTTTCAGAGTTTAATCATCATTTTTAGGAAAATCATAAGTTGGATCAGTCTGAAAAGATATAGCAACTAACTTCTCAAGGTTTGACCCGAGTTTGGTGGTTCTAGCTTTAAAGCTCTAGGAGGAGATACAGTCTAAATTTTGGCTCAGAAGAAGAAGAAATGTATATAGTAGATCAGTAAGTTAGCTTTTTCAAGCCAACTTAATAAGCTTAAATAGCAGATCAGTAATTTGGCTTTCTTAAACCAACTTAATAAACTTAAATAGCAGATCAGCCATCTAACAGATCTAGCCAAACTTTTGCCAAACAACTTTTTTTTCTGTTTTCCCACAAAGGTGTGTCCCTGACTTTGTATTTGCCTGCCTCAAACTTCAAACACAGCAACACTCTGCATCTACAGTATATATCAGCCAAATGCACCATAATGATTGGCTTCCCAATATGTCATTCCAGATGAGAACAGACCTCCAACGAATGAGCGATCATGGGAAATGCCATTCAGCTAAGGATGCCACAAAAGGGAATCCCTGTTCAAAAGATAGAGTATCACAAAATGCAAGTACAAATCTCCAGATCATAGCTGAACTGGTGCATTTGAAATAAAGTTTCATAGTCAGGGTAAAATTAATGATTGATGGTTCATTCAGGTGTGGTGAACAGCACATTCCAGGGCCCAGTTTATGGCGGGTCCTCTCTCTGACCATAACGGTGGACAAAGGTTTGCTACAACTTGATTGGATCTTGGTGGATTAACAAAAAAAAATGTCCAATGCCATCAGATAAAAATGCTAGGACAATGGCCAGAAACCTCTTAAAAGGATTAGTTCACATCCAGAATAAAACAATTTTCTGATAATTTATGTCATCCAAGATGTTCATGTCTTTCTGTCTTCAGTCGCAAAGAAATTAAAGTTTCTGAGGAAAACATTCCAGGATTTGTCTCCATATAATCGAGTTAAATAGTAGCCAATGGGTTGAAGGTCCAAACTGCAGTTTCAATGCTGCTTCAAAGGGCTCTACACAAAGTGAACTAATCCTTTAAGAGGGCAAGGAGAAAACCTCTGGTACCAAGCCTAGGAAAGACAGGACTTCTCATTGGTCCACATGCAGTTTCTGCCTTTCACCCATCTACAGACTAATTCCTAGGGGTTTGGCCTGTGACCACCATAAAACTTACTTAGGAGCTCTGGGTGCAGCAGCAGTGGGTGAAGCAAAGAAAGCTCACAAAGGCTATGTTCAGACTGCAGGCAAATCCGATTTTTTTTCTCAAATCAGATCTTTCAGAAAGACTGTCCACACTATTAATTGCAGGTGATTAAATCCAATTTGTTTGTCCAGACATAACCACTAACTGCATGGGTTGCAATGCAGGCATTAACAGTTCACAGAGAAGTGTATATACCACCTGAGGACCGGCTTTCAGTCAGTAGAGTGTTCGGTGTCAGACTGGGAAAAGCTGGCGATTTATCAGAGTTTGCTAAAGGACATATTGCGATGGCACGGCACCTCAGAACTTCGATCTCAGAAACGGCACACCTTGTGGGTTGTTCACGTGACATTATAGTGAGTATGTATCAAAAGTGGTGCACGGATGGCCAAACGACGAAACACACTGCCAGTATTTTCAAGGAGCAGTTCAAGGAACATGATGGTGAATTTCTGTGAATGCCTCGGCCTTCAAATCCAACATTTGTGGTTCAACTTGGAAAAGCGGGTTTGCACTACATCACCACCACCCTGCAATGTACGGGATCTGGAGGACCTGCTGTTGACATTATGGTACCAGATACCCCAGGATGCATATCGCCACCTCGTCAAATTAATACCTCGCTCCATGGCCACTGTTTTTTGGGCTAAAGGAGGTCCTACAGGTTATTAGATAGGTGGTCATAATGTAATGGCTAATTTGTGTATTTGTTTGATGCATAATAAGGTTCTTTACCTTATGAGATTTAGAGAAGCAGCAGTTTATCTTTCTATAAGATAACGTAACTCTGCCATCGCAACACCCAATTTAATCTCTTGCATTATATGCAACTTATGTACTTTAGTCCTTTTTCATTCATGGTATTCATTTAGTAGTTATTGATTATTCTTGCTTATATTTCGGTAATACATTTTATTTTATTACACCTGTGTCTTGCTTGTGTTGATAATACAGTAAGAGGCTCTATAAGTTAGCAATATCTCACCAATGTGTCACATAAATCTGTAAACCAACTCCCTTCAGTTTAATTCTAAATGACTGAACAGCCCCTGTTGGGGTCATCTTATGTACTCATACACAGGTCTAAAAATTTGCATATATTGCTAGAATATTGGGATTTCAAATGTTCACTTTCCTAAGTCATTCTTTCCTCACTTACTTTCTTTCTGCAACTCAGAGTCAGTGTGTGTTTATGTGTTAGATTAGTTTCTGTGTATTATAATAATTAAATCTCATTTGTACATAAAGAGAAGTACCTTGTGTTTTGTGCTTGCAAGTTAATGTTTTAAACTGATGAGATTGTTAACGTGCTAATAAATGTGACCTGTGCTGGCAAAATGAGTCACAATGAGCCATTTTTTTCAAAAATGAATTTTTTTCTTTAAAGGGGTCATATGATGTTGCTAAAAAGAACATTATTTTGTGTATTTGGTGTAATGAAATGTGTTTATGCGGTTTAAGGTTAAATCCTTATTTTCCACATACTGTACATTATTGTTTCTCCTCTATGCCCCGCCTTTCTGAAACGCGTCGATTTTTACAAAGCTCATCGGTCTGAAAAGCGAGGTGTGCTCTGATTGGCCAGCTATACAGTGCGTTGTGATTGGCCGAATACCTCAAGCGTGTGACGGAAATGTTACGCCCCTTACCATACTGTGATGCCCTGTCCGGCCGGAGCGACGAGACAAAAACATTAAAACCGATTATAAATGAGGCATTTGTTGCATCCAGTGGGGACGTATTATAATGACATATACTGTCTTTTGTCTGCATTTGTGATCGGAGAAATGACAAACAACAAGCGCTACTCTACACTGCTCAAAACTCGCGTCAGTGGCAAATTCTTTAATATAAAATACGTACTTACAGTCTGTGAGTCAGAACAGACATTGTAGTCTACTCTACCAGGATCAGGAAACAGTCCTCCATAAAATGTGCTGCACACATCTGAATATTTGGGTTAAACTGTTCTGGAACAGTGTTGTAAATACAACTTAACCACTGATTTCTAGTTGTGTCCTCTTTTGGAAGGCCAAACAAAGTAGTTTCGCTTTCTGGCCGGCGGCCTTGAGTGAGCGGAGGCCGGCGGGGCTAGAGTGAGCGGCGGCAGAGCTAGAGTGAGAGGAGGCCGGCGGGGCTAGAGTGAGCGGCGGCCGGCGAGCTTGCGGCAATCACATGTGACGACCCCGGGCTGAACTCCACTTCGTCCACGGTGAAAGCCGATCCGGCGATCCACAGCACGAAGTTGATGTATTTCCTCAGAGACCAGCACGGATCAGCTCTAGGCATGACAAAGCGGATATCGTCCGAAACAGCGTCTTCACGATATGGCGGCAGCAACAATATTACAGCGAGAATAAAAGTTACGCCTTCTTTCTTTGCGTGAACATTTGGGTGGCGTTATGCAAATCTTCCCACATTGTGATGTAGACATGTGGGGGCGTGTTAGAACGAGCCATTTTAGGTAGGCGTGGTTGACTCTTAACTTTTACACATGTTACACATCAGATGTTTTTCACCAACAGCTTCCCAAACGTTCACTTAAGACATAACAGGTTATGTTTGCATGAATACTTAAAAATACTGTAATTCTGTGTATATGTGTATATTTATGGGGTCGCGCGCAGTTGAAAGCACCTTTATGTTCGGATGACAGTCAGCGTGAGAAACGAGCGGAAATATAGAGTACATACAAATATAGATCATTTTAGATGTGTTATTACTATTTGGAGCATTGGGATCACTAGACGAGGGCCTCAAAATCGACATTTTTCACTTTTTTTGTCTGTAGCTCAAAATTAGCCCATGTGCATTCCGACTCATTTTGCCAGCATGGGTCACAAATAGTGTTTTCACCATACTTTAGATATTAATATCCATTGCAGAGTTGATAGTTCAGCCATACTGATCGCTGGATGATTCATTTGATCAGCTGTAAAACAGTGATTCTCTCAAAATTATTGTCTGTGATAACTGCAAAAAAAGGTTGTCAACAGAGCTTAATAATTAATACTACTCTTAGTATTACACTTGCTAAAAACAGCACTTTTTTTATACAGTAAAGGTTTGTGTGAAGTACAAGGAATGACTGTAATGGACAGGGCCTAAATGAAATAGTGTCCTAATTACTTACATGCAGCAGGAGTCGGGCCTCCATGGCTTCCTTACAGGTGATGAAATATGGCTTCATTAGCAATATATCCTGACGTAATTTCTGAAGTACAAGAATGATAAAAACATTACCTTAGATTGCATTCTATAGAATGCTGTTTCAGCCAATGCACTGTTCAGATTAAACCGCTTTACCAAAAAAAATAAAAAGGTTTACACTGTCACAATTTTAAAAAAGTTACCTGTTTTTTTTATGAATTTATCTATCACTTCTATAGACTGTCATTGTTGCATTACTGAACTGTTGGTTGCAATCAAGAAAGTCAAAACCTCAGAGCTGAACAGGTGAAAATCATTATTTTACTTTTAATAATAAATACTTTTAATAATAAATAATTTTATTTTACATTGTTTGCTTTTTTTGATACTTACTCTGATCTCCACTAGCTCCTCCACAAAGTTGAAGAGAAGAGGATTGATCTCCTTCAGTTTGAGCACAGGCCTGGACATCATCAGAGCAAGATAGCGCATTGATGTACGACACACCTGAACACATCAATACACACACTTCTTATGTCTTATGTCATGAGTTACTATCAAACTGAAAATTATATACAGTATATGGTAACACTTTAGTTTAAGGACCAATTTTCACTATTAACTAGATTTTCCGTATAATCGACCCAGACCAGCTGGTGAGTCTCACGTCTTAAACTTAGTTCACACTACACAACTTAAAACATCGGCAGATCACTGTGCTGTTCAGACTACATGACTTGATTGTCTGTCTTGAAGTCGTTATGGTGTTCACACTACGAGACACTACGTAAATGATTCACAACGGGTGGTCACACACTACACGAGCTGACAATAACTCTGTCACCCAATGACTCTACACGGTCCCCAAACCATGTTTTGTCACGAAAACACACATGAGAAGTTGAATGGGAATGACACGAAACAACAAGTGAAACACGAGTTGTTTATTTGAAAATGGACATCGGGAAGAAATTAGTGCTGCAAGCTGTTTGCATGATGATCTGTTCTGAAAACAATTTGCTCCATTTCTTGTGTCCAATCTTTTCTTAAAGTCATGTTGCTGCTGCTGTTTTTCTTCTGCTGACCTCAACCCATGCCTTGCTTCCTCATACAGCTCATCGAGACACCTGACACCACGTGATGTCGAGTCGGCCGACCGGTCCAGATATTTAGCATGCTAGATATTCGTTTGGCGTCGGCGAGCCTCTTTGATGCGTTGTTGATTATTTCACACATAAAGATTGCCGAGCACTGATCACCCACCGATTTTCCCCCAATGACAGCCCGACCTGTCAGCGAGCTCGTTAACTTGCTAATCGGGCTTAAAATCCTGTAGTGTGAACTAGGCATTACCGATTCCGAGCTGATCCGCTTTGACGTTACAGCTATGCTCACAACCGCATGTAAACATGTAATTGTGTGAAAGTTCTTCACTGTGAGTGAGGATGACACAAAGTTTGCAATTTATAATACGCGTAGGGCCAAAGTAAACCGTGAGGGAACCACAGGGCTTGATTAACACTTGTCCGGGACAAATCAATTTTTGAAAGGAAGAATGATTCTGATTTTACTGCATTTAGTGTAAACGGCAACTGATAATGTATTGATGTCATGCAAGATGAGGCTCGCGCAGCCTGAGTGAGAGACTCAAAAATCTAAATAATTTAGCACAACAGCACTCACAAAGTATCTTACAGGAAGTTATAGATGCATTCTGCCGTAGCAAAAAAAAGACATATATGATATAGGTTAGCAACATTACAAGACCAAGATGTTTCCCCGAATATCAGCACGATTGCAATGTGACACTATACAATAATAGTTCAATAAACAAGAAGTTAAAATGAGTGACTTACATTTTAGACACAATATTGACCATTTTTGCTCAATTTCCAATTAAAGTTCCAATAGTTCCAATCAAAGCCACAACAGAACTGTTGTGTGTCTCTGAGCAACACACACTGGCATTTCATTACTGAATGAATCCACGTTTTTGAACGAATCGAGTGAGTCAATGATTCAGTAACCCATTCATAAAGAGAGTCAGCTGCCTTGTTTCTGCATGAATCGGCCGTTAAATGAATGACTAAATTACTCACTAATTAAAAAAAGTTATTTAGTTGGTGGTTTGTTTTTATAATTAAAAGTATCATTGCATTTTCCCCATACATTTCTTATTTGTATGTTCTAAAAAAATTATTTAAAACATTACTCATAACATTATTTATTATATAATTTTGTGGTGTAAATGCATTTATGGCACCTCAGCTTCATTAAACAGTCTGTGTAAATACATCTAATGCCACTTCAGATGCAGCTTCTGTCTCCTCTGCAGTGGAAAGATGGAGTTTGTCGATACTGATTTCATTTGAATAGTAACAACTCTACAGTTTCTAACTGAATTAATTGAAACAATGTAAGAATTTGCTGTGAAAGATGACACATACATTTAATAAGGTTAGGGAAAAATGCCCATTTATAAACATAGTGAGAAACGACATCAGCGTTGTTTAAGTGAGAGAACATCTGTAACTTAGTCTAGATTGGGGAATTGTAATGCTTAATCATCTTAATTTTTTTTTTTTGCAATAATCTTTTATTATGCAATTACAAGACACCATCCCCCAGCACTGTGGAGAATCAACAACTGGCCGGTGATTTAAATGAATTTTACTGCAGGTTTGAAAAACGTACTCGTTTACTAACGTAACCTCGGTTCCCTGAGATACGGGAACGAGTACTGCTAAGTCTGAGTCTGCTAAGACGCTATGGGAAAAATCTTTTTTCTCCTGAACTGGAGCATTTTTTTAATCACGCAGTGAAACTGCATGGCCATTGGTTTGTGCAGTGTAAAAAAAAAAACGAACCAGTGGCTCAGTAGCGGAGCTTGGGTGGGGCATCTGGCTATATAAGCGGGCGTTCGCCACAGGAGTCTCAGGTTACTTCGACTGAAGCAAGCGACGACTGAGTCACGCGGCTACATAGCATGGCTAGCAACGCAGTACTCGTTCCCGTATCTCAGGGAACCGAGGTTACATTAGTAACCGAGTACATTCCCTTTCGATACTACACTCATACGGTGTCTGCTAAGACGCTATGAGAACACAGTACAATCACAACGTGCTAATGTAGTGGAATGACTAAAAGTATCATAACTTCCATAAGCAACCAATGCCCATAGCGAAGTTAACAACAACCCAAGGCTAAGACGGGCTAAGCTTACTGAGGTCACACCCGGCCTGGTTAATCGTTCCAGAGTACTCCTGTAAATTCGACACCCAGGGGTCGAGAGCTAACAGGTGAAGTAATGCCAGAGAGCTTGAGCATGATACGGCCAAGGGCACTCTGCCAGATTTGTGTCTACACCAGACACCAAGCGGAGACCACTTAAGGGCATAGAGGCCTCTTGTAGACGGGGCTCTAGCCTCCGAAATTGTGTTCAAGACACGCTCTGGGAGGCTCGAAGGCTCCCGTCGAGCGGCCAGAGGTGCAGGGCCCACAGATCGGGCCAAAGATGCCATATTGTCCCGTTCGCTTGAGAGAGGAGATGTCGTCTCAACGGAATGGGCCAAGGGGCCGCTACCAACCGCTGGCCACCAGGAGAACCTTGTGTTTTTGTTTCCTCACTCGCCTGATTACCTATGGGATCAGGGCGATCGGGGGAAAAGCATAAAGAAGGAGGTTGGGCCAATCGTGGATCAACGCTTCCCTGGTCTTTGAGTAATAAATTGGGCAGTGAGAGTTGCCATCTGATGCGAAGAGGTCTACACCTCGGCCTCGCCGAAGAGCTCCCAGATCCTCTGAATGGTCTGCGGATGGAGCATCCACTCCCCTGAGGGGACATTGCTCCTTGATAACATGTCCGCTCCTTGGTTCAATTTGCCCGGTATATGCGCTGCTCTCAGCGAGCGCAGGTTGAGCTGAGCCCATTCCAGGAGGCGCTCTACCAG